AAAAAACTTTTTTTTTTTTCCAGCCGGGTCTCACTCTGTCACCCAGGCTGGATGGTGGCATGATCATGGCTCACCGCAACCTTGACCTCTCGGGGTCAGGCAATCCTTCTGCCTTAGCTTCCTGAGTAGCTGGAACTGCAGGTATGCGCCACTATGCCTGGCTACTTTTTTGACTTTCTATAGAGAGGCGGTCTCGCTATGTTACCTAGGCTAGTCCCGAACTCCTGGGCTCAAGCGGTCCTCCTACCTCGTCCTCCCAAAGTGCTGGGATGACAGGTATGAGCCGCCATGCCTGGCCACATTAAATTCTTAAGGGAGTTGAGCTGCCAAAGAAAGTGGCCTCTGTGGCTTAAGACTGCCGGTCCCTCAAGGCATTTCCTGAACCTGCACCCACAGGAAATGGGACCCTAAAACAGTGACTCTTCTGGGAAGGTAGCAACCCCATGCCCACCCAGATATTAACAAGACAGGGAGACACCCTCAAGATCAGAACTGCAGGCTGTCATGTTGCCTGACCAAGGGTCTAGCTTTACTACCAGGGCAAAGAATCTTCAATATTTCTCCATCCAGCAAGATATCATGTGTGCTTCTGACCAATGACCACCAAAAATGTTTCCCAGTCTCCTCTTCCCAAATGGAAATTCTTTTTTTTTTTGAGACAGGGTCTCACTCTATCATCCCAGCTGGAGTGCAGTGGCACGATCATAGCTCACCGCAGCCTTGACCTCCTGGGCTCAAGTAATCCTCTCCTCTCACTCAGCCTCCTGAGTAGCTGGGACTACAGGAGTATGCCACCACACCCAGCTAAGTTTTGTATTTTTTTTTTTTTTTGTAGAGATGAGGTCTCACTATGTTGCCCAGGCTGGTCTCAAACTCCTGGGCTAAAGCGATCCTCCTGCCTCGGCCTCCTAAAGTGTTGGAATGACAGTCATGAGCCACTGTGCCCAGCCTCCAAATGGAAATTCTTATTGTTGATGTCCTTGGCTTTTTTCTCTCCAGTGTCGCTGGCTATGTGAATGGTGGTAAGCTTCAGAATCTAGTTGATAGCTACTTCCAGACATGATGGAGAGTATGATGCAGTTCCCAAAAAGATATGGCCTTGAATCTGGATCCAGGAGCTGGACGAATCACAGGACTGCCTTGGGGGAAGGGAGCCTATTTCATCCAAATCGCCCATCCCAACAGCTCTGCCCCAGACCCCAGAAGCTGCCCACTTCTGTTGACTCTTGGGTGTTTGGACACCCAATGAATCATACCCGGCCTATTTTTGATGATTTCGTAAGAGAAAGAGAGTGAGTGGGTGTTGAATAGCCAACAAGGTGCAGTGGGACATGAGGATCATTGCACATAATAATCTCGAGTTTATTCGCATGACTGTACCTGAACTCACTGCCTCCGTGATTTAGGAGAAGCTAACTCTACTCCCAGGTCTAGGACAAGGGCAAAGGGCTGACAGGAACCTCACAGAGGGGATGCCAGGCAGGTTGTATCTGTAGACATTGGATGAGGCATCCGCTTGGCACTTCTGAGACACGTTCTTTCTTTCTTCCTTCTGGAGTGGAGTGATTGGGGCATATGCATGCTGGGGCAGACGTTTCACCACCATGAGGAGAATCAACCAAGACTGAAGCCAATACCAACAGGGAAAGCCTGAAGGATCTTCTAGAAATGGAACTGCTCTGTGCCCACCCTCAGCCCTGGACTTTGGAGTCATATAATGTCTTCATTACTATCTGAGCCAGTTTGAAGACTTTTCTGTCATTTGTAGCAACCAACCAACTACGACAGAGTGTGATGGATCCTGAAATAAAAATATGGTGGAAGACTTGGGTGGTTAAGAGAGTGGGTTAATTAGTCAAGAGAAGCAAATGCTTTAGGCATTTGTGGGGGAGGAGGAGGGGGAAACCCGCCACGGTTCTTTTTTTTTTGAGTTGGAGTCTCACTCTGTCGCCCAGGCTGGAGTGCACCCGCTAATGGCCACAGCCTTGACCTGCTGTGCTTAGGCAATCTTTCTGCATCAGCCTTCCAAGTAGCTGGAACTACAGGCATATGCCACCATGCCCAGCTAATGTTTTTTGTTTGTTTGTTTGTTTGTTTTTTTAGAGACAAGGTCTCGCCATGTTGCCTAGGCCGATCTTGAACCCGTGGGCTCGGGCAATCCTCTCGCCTCAGCCTCTCAAAGCGCTGGGATGACAGGCGTGAGCCACCACCCCCAGCTCATCGCAGTTCTTGACAATGATTTATTTGGCTCGTGTGTCACCAGGATGATGCTTCTCTTTGTCCACCCAGGTGGGAGCGGAGGTGTAAAGGTCTTCAGTGCCGGGTGGCGTGCCTGGCATTTAACGGTCCCGGGGAAACGTGAGATGATGGAAGGAGTTCTGCCATCTGTTGTCCAGGGCCCCGGCAGGCTGAGGGAGCTCACTGACATCCACGCACACGGTGAGCAGGTGGGTCCCAGCTAACCCTCCTCCCTCCTCTCTACCTTTGCAGGGCATGGACCACATGTCTCCCAGGTTGAGAACCTTCCTCTCTGAACCCATCGGAGAGAAGGATGTCAGCTGGGTGGACGGGATCAGCCGTGAGCTTGCCATCAATCTGGTCACCAAAGGTTTCAACAAGGTAATTGGTTTTTTTCTTCCATCTCCAAATTATCTTCCCCTTGTCCTGCCAGATGGCAGCTCTTGCCACATGTCCCCGTGAAGGACCATCGGAGGGCAAAGCTGCCAATTGGAAGGATGCCACATGCTTGTGTGTTCCTGACCCCACACGCTCAGACAGCCTCAAGGGCCCACAGACGATGGGCAAACGGACTCGCTTCAGCTCAGAGCAGCTGCGCCGGGCATGGTTTGCTGGGTGTCCAGACACTTGGGGGTCAACAGAGGTGGGCTAGCTGCCGGGGTCTAGGGCAGAGCTGTCAGGATGGGTGATTTGGGTGTCTTTCTCACCCCACTAAGGGACCACAGAGTCTCTCTTGCCCCTGTCAGGACGCCAGTCTGGTAGTGGTAGGTGGAGAAACAGCCTCCAGGGTCTACGCCAGTGTGAAGGGATGTGAGTTATTCTATGATGTCCGAGAATGACCTCAAGGATCTTCAGCAGAAGCTGAACGTTCTTTTCTATGCAACTGTTTGTTTTTATGGGGCTATTAACAAGCTGCATGGGCTGGACATGGTGTAATCCTGTAATCCCAGCACTTTGGGAGTCTAAGACGGGAGGACTGCCTGAGCCCAGAGTTCGAGACCAGCCTAGGCAACATAGTGAGACCTTGTCTCTACAAAAAAACTCCAAAAATAAGTTGGGTGTGGTGGCGTGTGCCTGTAGTTCTAGCTACTTGGGAGGCCGAGGCAGAAGGATCAGGGTGAGCCATGATCGTTCCACTGCACTCCAGCCTGGGTGACAGAGTGAAACCCCAACCTCCTCTCCCCCTCAAAAAAAGCTGCTTGGAACTTCAGGAGAGAAGGAAAGACTGTCTCAAAGAAAGAGCACAGACTTGGGAGACTGGGAACTCACAGATCCTCGCACTCAGTCAGGAGAGGCAGCAGCTGGTGGTTCTGCAGCCAATTCCCTTCAGTGTTCCATGTCAGTCTGGGCAGGGCACTCATGCCCAAAGAGGCTGAGTCCTGCTACATGCATGGCTGGTGATTGATTTGGTCTGCACCCAGATCTGAACTATCAGTGCTGGGATTTTCTGATGGACCCACGGTCAAATATTCCGAACACACCCCAACCCTCCAACCTGTTCATAGCCAATAGGTGGTATTGTCAAGAACTCTAGCTCTATAGTGGAGGTAGATTTGAGGCTCTCTCGTGATTATAAAAGAGATAGGAACATTTCCTAGGGAACATATTTTAAATTAAACATTCCTTTTGTGACTGGGGGCGGTGGCTCACACCTACAATCCCAGCACTTTGAGGGGCCAAGGCAGGAAGATTGTTTGAGCCCAGGGGTTCGAGACCAGCCTGGGCAACATAGGTAGACCTTGTCTCTACAAAAAATAAAAAATCAACCAGGTGTGGCAGCCTGTGCCTATAGTCCCAGGTACTCAAGAGGCAGAGGTTGAAGACTTGCCTGAGCCCAGAGGTCCAGGCTGTGGTGATCTGTGATCAGGCCACTGCGCTCCAACCTGGGCAAGAGAGAGAGGTCCTGACTCAAAAAAAAAAGTATTTTTTGAAAAAAATAACTGTTGTTTTTACTTCCTTGTTGTGGTGAAACATACCTAGGGAATGCATACAGGTATGAAGGGTTCAGCTCCACGAATTTTTTACATATACCTACCTCCATCCTGTACTCACCATCCAGATCCAGTGATCAGACACCTCCAGAATTCCAGGATGTGCCCTGATGCCTCTTCCCAGACAATACCATCCCCTCTCCCCAGACACCAGACACTGAACACCGTTAATTTTTTTCTTTTTCTTTTTTGAGTTGAGGTCTGACTCTGTCACCCAGGCTGGAGTACAGTGGCACCATAATGGCTCACTGCAGCCTCAACTCTGGGCTCAGGCGATCCTCTTGCCTCAGCCTCCTGAGCAGCTGGAACTAAAGACACACTCCACCATGCTCAGCTAGTTTTTCTTTCTTTCTTTTTTTTTTTTTTTTGTAGAGACAGGGTCTCACTTTGTTATCCAGGCTGGTCTGAAACTCCTGGCCTCAGGCAATCCTCCTGCCTCGGCTGTAAAAGTGCTGGGATTACAGGTATGAGCCACTGTGCCTGAGAAGCCACGGTGTTTTGAACCCGAAATGACTGAGGGAGATTGGATTTGCAGCATTGTCACTGGCTGAAAGTGGACACGATGACTTAGCCAACAATGGTGAAGAAAAAAATCAGAGAAGTGACTCAATGATGTCCATTCAGCAGGGCACCGTAGTGACAACTGAACATTTGAATGAGTGCAGACGAGGGCCAGCAACCTAATTTTCAGGGCCTGAAAAATAAAAATAAAAAATTCAAATGTATTAATGGGCATGTGACTTGTGCCTATAATTCCAAGTACTCAGGAGTCTGAGGCCAAGAGTTTGAGACCAGCCTGGGCAGAGAAGCAAGACCCTATTTCTAAAAAAAAAAACAACAAAATTTAAATAGCTGAGCACAGTGGCATGCACCTGTAGTCCCAGCCACTCAGGAGGCCGAGGCCGGAGGATTTCATGAGCCCAGGAGGTCAAGGCTGCAGTGAGCTATGATTGTGCCACTGCATTCCAGCCTGGGTGACAGAGCGAGACCCTCTCTCTTAAAAAAAAAAAAAAGAATTGTTAAAAAGAAATTTACTAAGAATTTCAAGCTGGGCTTGGTGGCTCAGCCTGTAATCCCACGCCTTTGGGAGGCCAAGGTGAGTGGATTGCCTGAGCCCGCAGGTTCGAGACCCACCTGGGCAACTTGGCGAGACCTCATCTCTACCATAAATCAAAAATCAGCCGGGCGTGGTAGCGCACGCCTGTAGTTCTAGCTACTTGGAAGGCTGAGGCGGAAGGATTGCCGGAGCCCAGCAGGTCAAGGCTGAGGTGGCCAGGAGCGGCCACTACACTCCAGCCTGGGCGACAGAGTGAGACTCCAACTCAAAAAAAAAAAAAAAAGAATTTCAAGATGGCAATAGTAGATCATTAAACCAAGTCAAGGGCTCTTCTGAGTGCCAAGCTCTGTGTGGCAACACGGGTCACATACAAGGGAACCCGTCCCTGACTACTATTTAGCAAGAAGTAGATGGCAAGCAGGAGGGTGGTTCCTCCCCTGCTTGGGCCAGGCCCTGGTGGTAAGCCTCACTGTTTGCTCTTGGAGTTGAGGGGCATTCTACCCTTGATCCCCCATCTTGCTGACGCGGGAAGGAACGCACCTCCCTGGTTTGGCGGTGGCCACTGTCCAGGACACTGGGAGGACAGGACATCTGCCTGGGTTCCTACGTTTCTATGTCACCTTCCCTGCAGCTGAGTTTGTGGTCTTTGACCCAAGGAGAAAGGGGGAAGCATCTTTTCTGCCTGGTTAGGGGCTTTCTGGAACTGGTAGAGAGACCAAGCTGGCATCTGGCAGGGCAGTGATGGGAGTCCAAGACGCCAGCTCCCCTGAGGAGCCTGAAGTCATCGGGGACAAAGCAGAAGGCAGACCAGCCTTCCCTCCTGCCCACCAGACAACGCCGGAAGACCCAGGGAAGGCTGAGGAGGGAGTGTCAGGTTGCGTCTTGGCTCTAGAGGCCACGTGGCGAGTCAACACTCCTAGATTTGTGGGGACGCTGAGGCTCTATTCCCAGGCCAACGGGTGCCAGTGGGGCTGCCTCTGAAATGGGCAGACTGCGGGCAGCTGGGACGTGTCAGGTAGTGCAGAGGAAAACAGGAATCTTGACTTCTCTGAGTCTCAGTGTCTCTACCTGGAAAATGGATGGGGTGGGCACATGTGAAGACTGGGTGGATGGAAATGTGCCAAGTGCCTCCAGCAGTGCATGAGTAGCAGAGGAAGAGCTGCCTACCATCCTCTGTGGCTATGAATGTTCTCTCTCCGTGGACAAAGCTCTGTGGTTCTTTTTCCTGTTTTTTTATTCATCTCAGCTCCTCCCACAACCGGTGCATCTGGCTCAATGAACATGCAGTAAATGGTCACTTTTTCAAACATTGTTTCAATGACATCTCAAAGTTTGGTACAGGGGGCTCACGCCTATAATCTCAGTCACTAGGGAGGCTGAGGCAGGAGGGTTGCTCGAGGCCAAAAGTTCAAGTCCAACCTGGGCAACATAGTGAGACCCCAGTTACCAAAAAAAGTAAATAAATAAAAGATAATAAGCAGCCATGCATGGTGGCTCACGCCTCTAATCTCAGCTACTCAGGAGTCAGGCAGGAAGATTGTTCAAGGCCAGGAATTCAAGACGCCTGTAATCCCAGCACTTTGGGAGACTGAAGTGAGAGGATTCCCTGAGTCCACAGGCTTGAGACCAGCCTGGGCAACTTGCTGAGACCTCATCTCTATGATGAGTCAAAAAATTAGCTGGGCATAGTGGCACGCGCCTGTAGTTCCTGCTACTTGGAAGACTAAGGTGGAAGGATCACCTGAGCCCAGCATGTCGAGGCTGTGGTGGCAGTGAGTGTGCCACTGCCCTCCAGCCTGGGCGACGGAATGAGACTCTGACTCAAAAAAAAAAAAAGGATGATGGTGCCCGGGTGTGGAGACTCGTGCCTGTAATCCCAACACTTTGAGAGGTAGAGGCAAGAGGATTGCCTGAGACCAAGGGTGTGAGACCAACCTGGGCAACATGGTGAGACTTCGTCTCTACAATAAATTGGAAAATTAGCTGGGTGTGGTGGCACACACCTGTAGTTACAGCTATTTGGAAGGCTGAGGTGGAAGGACCACCTGAGCTCAGCAGGTAGGTCACCCTAAGTCTGTCACTGTACTCTAGCCTGGGCGACAGAGTGAGACTCTGACTCAAAATGAAAACAAACAGTAATCAAACAAGATGATTAAAGTAGCAGCTCAAAATCACCACAAAACCTTGACTTTTTTTCACTTTTCAACAAATAGACCATGACTAAAAATAAAAAACCCCAAATCCAATACTTGGGTACACTTTATGCCTGGGATTTGACTTTTATTTGATTTCTCTTTTTTAAAAAAACTTCCCTTTAGTGAAGCTGAAGTTTGCCTTATTTTGCATAACTGAGAGTAAACAGACACCAATGGATTTTCCTGGAAAGGGTCCAGAGCCTGGAGGCGTGGGTGGACACTGGTTCTCTGTGGCTCCAGGTTGGAGGGCCCCAAAACCAACTCCAAGTATCCAGAAGTCTCTCAGACACTTGGGTAATATATGACCAGGTGGCCTTCAGAAGTCCGTTTCTCCACATGGTCGTCACACCCTGCCAATAATGGTGTGATCCAATTGCAAAAGATAAATGATGCTGGACTCTGTGGCTCCCAGCCCTTTGGGAAGTGGAGGCGAGTGGACTGCCTAAGCCCAGGGGTTTGAGACCAGCCTCGCAAATTGGCGAGACCTCATCTCTACAATTAACAAAAAAAAAGAAAATTAGCCAGTCATGGTGGCACGCTCCTGTGGTTCCAGCTACTTGGAAGGTTGAGGAGAAAGGATAGCCTGAGCCCAGCAGGTCAAGGCTGTGGTAACTGTGAGCGTACCACTGCACTCTAGCTTGGGCAACAGAGTGAGACTCCAACTCAAAAAGAAATGAAAAGCCTTATGGGGGGACAGGAAGTTGGAGAACTAGAGAATGCCCTAGAAATATGAATCATGGTGCACTGAACGTCTATCTCATATGCATTTCCCCTCCAGAGACTCGGGAGGAGAGAGCCCGGCAGGGTTGAGCAGTCCTGCAACTCTCTATGCCCCTTCCGCAGGGTACATCTCCCATGAGGAAAGAGGAATTTGCATTTTTGAATGCTCTCTCACTTAATGCATGAATTTAATTTGCAGGCCAGGTCACACAGATGTGCCTTAACTGAGACCTGGGTTCTGTGGGTTCTGACCTCAGGTTATGAGAGTTGCCTGAGCTCACACAGCTGGTGTGCAAAAATAAATGGATGCTAAGAATGCCATTTATCTGCCAGCCCCACGTGCAGTGGTTCTCAGCCAAGGGAAATTCTTTGCCCCCAAGGGGACATTTGGCAATGTTTGAGATACTGATGATTGTCACTGATAGGGTGGTAAGGGTATCTAATGGGTAGAGACCAAGGAATGCTGTAAATACACTACAATGCACAGGACAACCTCCTATAACTCAGCATTATCCAAAATGTCAGGCTGGGCGCAGCGTCTCACATGTGTAATCCCAGTACTTTGGGAGGCCAAGATGGGAGGATCACTTGAGCCCAGGAGTTCGAGACCAACCTGGGCAATAGAGGGAGACCTTGTTGCTACAAAAAGTTTCAAAAACAATTAGTCAAGCGTGGTAGTGCATGTCTGCAAAGTCCCAGCTACTCAGGAGGCTGAGGCAGAAGGATTATCTGAGCCTGGGAGATCAAGGCGGCGGTTGTGCCACTGTCCTCAAGTCTGGGCGACAGAGTGAGACCCCAACTAAAAAAAAAAAAAAATTGTCTATAGTACTAAGGGTTAGAAAGTCTGTGAAAGTTGCAGGACGAGAGCATCTCTTACTCCGTTTTGTGTGTGTGTGTGTGTGTGTGTATGTGTGTGTGTGTGTGTGTGTGTGTGTGTGTGTTTCAAAGAGAAAAACACTACACAGAGGCCTTAAAGGAATCTCATGGGTGCCCTAACCCCTCATTCCCTACTCAAAATGTTGGTTCTGGGCCAGCATCAGCTGGGAGCCTGTTCAAATGTGGACTCCTAGGTCTCGATCCAGACTTGGACTTTCTGAGTCAGAACCTGCATTTTTTTCCTCTTTTCACTTTTTATTTATTTATTTTTACTTCATTTTATTATAAAGATTGAGGTACAAGTCAGGATTAGGTACATAAGTAACGTATGCACAGGTGAAGTTTAGGCCTCCAACCGGTCCTCACTTCCCCTGGTTTGGGACCAGATACCCTTTGTATTGTCACGTTCCCCGCCCCTCCTAGCAGTGTCCCGCGACTGCTGATCCCTCCCTTGTGCTAATGTGATGAACAAAAAAGACACCTGCACACACATGTTTAAGGAACCTGCGTTTTATTCTATTTTTAAATTTTATTTTATTTTATTTTTGAGTCAGAGTGTCACTCTCTCACCCAGGCTGGAGTGCAATGACATACTCATAGCTACAGTAGCCTTGACCTGCTGGACTTAGGCGATTCTTCCACCTCAGCCTTCCAGGTAGCTGGAACTACAGGCATGCACCACCACACCTGACTAATTTTTTTTTTTTTTGAGTTGGCGTCTCACTCTGTCACCCAGACTGGAGTGCAGTGGCCGCTCCCGGCCACCGCAGCCTCGACCTGCTGGGCTCCGGCGATCCTTTCACCTCAGCCTTCCAAGTAGTTGGAACTACAGGCGCACGCTACCACGCCCGGCTGATTTTTTGATGTATTGTAGGGATGAGGTCTTGCCAAGTTGCCCAGGTGGGTCTCGAACCCGCGGGCTCATGCAATCCACTCACCTCAGCCTCCCAAAGTGCTGGGATTACAGGCTGAGCCACCGAGCCCAGCTTAATTTTTTTTTTTAATTGTAGAGACGAGGTCTCGCCAAGTTGCCCAGGCTGGTCTTGAACTCCTCTTGCCTCTGCCTCCCAAAGTGATGGGATGACAGGCGTGAGCCACCGCGCCCAGCCAGAGCCTGCTGCACTTTAACAAGATCCTAGGGAATTCCTGTGCTCCTTGAAATTTGAGAGGTTCATTCCAGGCTGGACAGGTCCCCAACCATCCCTGAGAGATGGACACTTAACCTGGCCCTCCATCTCACCAGAAGTCTGTCCTGCCATCGTTGTGGCCAAGTCAGGACTCTGGGGCTGACAGTCTTCCTGGAATCTGACCTATACCTTCCTTCTTTGATTTTTCCCGAGAGTCCCAGTGGCTGGGGGAGCAGGAATACATCTGAGCATGTGTCTGATGGCCTTCCCTGTGTTCTCGCCCACCTGTGCCCTCCCAGGCCTACATCCTGTTGGGACAGTTCCTTCTGATGCATAAGAATGAAGCCGAGTTCCAGAGGTGGATCATCTGCTGCTGTGGTGCCACGGAGTGGGAGGCCCAGCAGAGCTCCAACTGCCTCAAGGAGTGGTGCGCCTGCTTCCTGTAGAGTCGCTGCATCCCTGGGTAAATTACACCTTCTCTACCAACACCCGGGCTCTGAGTCCTTATTTGGGTTTTTAAAGACACGTGCCCACGGTAAAAAGTAGTTTAAGAATATACAAAAGGGACCGAGTACGGTGGCCCACACCTGTCATCCCACTTTGGGAGGCCGAGATGGGAGGATTGCTTGAGGCCAGGAGTTTGAGATCAGCCTGGGTCACATAGCGAGACCTATACAAAAAATTTTAAAAATTAGCTGGGCGGGTGGCGCGTGTCTGTAGTTCCAGCTACTTGGAGGCTGAGGCAGGAGAATAACCTGAACCCAGGAGGTTGATGCTGCAGTGAGCCGTGATGGTGTCACTGCACTCCAGCCTAGGTGGCAGAGTGAGACTTCAACTCAAATAATTAAATAAATAATAAAAATTTAAAGGGGGCAAAACAAGAAAAATGACCCCTAAACCCACCACCCAGAAACTGCAGTCACTCCTCTTAGAATACCACACCAGATATCTCTCAGTAAATATTTATATAAGAGAATGGATAAAGCCAGGCTCAGTGGCTCAGCCTGTAATCCCCCACCTTTGGGAGGCTGAGGTGAGTGGATTGCCTGAGCCCACAGGTTCGAGACCCGCCTGGGCAACTTGGGGAGACCTCATCTCTACAATAAATCAAAATGAGCCGGGCATGGTAGCGCGCGCCTGTAGTTCTAGCTATTTGGAAGGCTGAGGCGGAAGGATTGCTGGAGCCCAGCAGGTTGAGGCTGCGGTGGCCGGGAGCGGCCACTGCACTCCAGTCTGGGTGACAGAATGAGACTCCAACTCAAAAAAAAAAGAATAGATAATTCTATTTAAAAACAAAAATTAAATTGTAAGTCAGTGTATTCGTGATCAAGTAACGTATCACAAATGACCCCAGTGTGTGGCAGTTTCACACAAAAATAATATTACTTCACATAGTTTCTGAGATTCCTGAGAGTTGTGGAGCTGGCTGGTTCTTGTCTCAGGGTCTCTTAAGAGGTTACAAACTGTTGGCCAAGCTGGATGCAGTGGCCCACACCTATCATCCTGACACTTTGGGAGGTCGAGGAGAGAGGATTACCTGAGCCCAGGGGATCGAGACCAGCCTGGGCAACATGGTGGGACCTTGTCTCTACAATAAATCAAAAAATTAGCTGGGCATGGTGGCTTGTGCCTGTAGTTCCAGCTACTTGGAAGGCTGAGGCAGAAGGATCACCTGAGCCCAGCCGGTCGAGGTTACGGTGGCAGTGAGCGTGCCACTGCACTCCAGTCTGAGCAGCAGAGTGAGACTCTGATTCAAAAAAAAAACAAAACAAAACAAAACAAAAAACAAAACTGTTGGCCAGGCAGCAGTCATCAGAAGGCTGGGCCAGGGCCGGAGGACCCATTTCCAAGATGTCTCCCACCCTTGGCTGTGGGCAGGAGGCCTCAGCTCCTCACCAAGTGGGCCCCCCCAAAGGGCTTCTCATGGCATAATGTCCGGCTGGTGACCTGAGAGTGAGAGAGCAAGGAGCAACTGTGGTGTCCTTTATTGCCTAGTCTCTGATTTGTATAACTTCACTTCTGCCTTATTCTATTTGTCAGAAGCAAATCAATAAGTCCTTCAGTGGAGGAGAATTAAACTTTTGTGAAATAATATGATGATGTTTAAAAAAATTATCACAAGCAGGTTTTTAAGGTTTAATTTACATACAGTAAAACACTTTTTTCAGGTGTGCAGTTCTATAAATTTTGACAAATGTACCACCACTGTCAAGATGTAAGACATTTTTGTTATTCCAAGGAGCTCTCTAGTGCAAGGGTCTCCAACCCATGGCCCATAAACTGATACTGTGCCACATAGCAGGAGACAAGCAATGGGCCAGTGAGCGAAGCATCTTCTGTATTTACAGGCATTCCGCATCGCTCACATTACTGCCTGAGCTCCACCTCCTCTCACCTCAGCAGCAGCATTAGATTCTCATTGGAGCATGAATCCTATTGTGAACTGTGCACATGAGGGCTCTAGGTTGCACACTCCTTGTGAGAATCTAATGCCTGATGATCTGAGGTGGAGCTGAGGCAGTGATGCTAGTGTTGGAAGCGGCTGCAAATACAGATTAACATGAGCAGTGAAGTTTGACTGAGCAGAGACCATAGTAAATCAATTACTTACAGACTCCTATCAAAACCCCATCAGTGAGTTGGCAAGTGAGTTGCTGTACTTCAATTGTATAGCTACAACTGGTGGCAGGCTTTAAGTCAGAATCTGAGACTTACTTTGTACATGGCCTGACTGTCATTTTATTTACCACTTCTATCTGTGCTTCTTTGTTTGGTATGGTGAGTTGTATAATTACTTCACTATATATTACAATGTAATAATATAGAAATAAAGTACACGATAAATGTTATGTGCTTGAATCTCCCAAAACCATCCTTACCCCACCCTTAGTCCATGGAAAAATTAATCTTCCAAAATCAGTCCCTGATGCCAAAAAGGTTGGGGACCACTGTCCTAGTTCCTCTCTATAGTCATTCCCTCATCTCTCCCTAGCCCCCGGTTATCACAAACCTGTTTTCTGTCCTTATAGTTTTGACTTTTCCAGAAAGCCCTATAAATGGAATCACACTCCATGTCACCTTTTGAGATTGGCTTCTTTCACTTAGCATAATTCATTTGTGGTTGCTCTATTTTACAGGATTTTCAAACTCAAAAAAGTTGTATCAGATGTGGTTGGTGTCCAGCCCCTATTCTCTGGGTATTCACTGTTCTGGGAGAGTCCAGTGACCTCCCCCAGTAAGCACCTGCATGTCCCCTGCCTGAAGGTCTCTTTGGCTGCAGGAGGGGGACCAGCCCTCACACAAGGCAGTAGGAAAGTGGTAGATAGTTAACTTCTAGGAGAGCTTGCAGTGACAGATGGACAATGGTGGATAAATGCCCCAGCTTCTTTGCCTTCCAGGTGGAACACCTCTGAGACAGTCTCTTTATGCTCTCCGGTGGGGTTAAGCCCGTTGCTCACAGTGGTCCTCTGCTCTTGAACACCCCATTTGCTTTCTTTCTTGTCTTCCTGCTCCACTACCAGTGATTCCTGGGATCATCCCACCACCCCTACTTTCTAGAAAATATTCAAATTTTAGTCTCATGGTCTGTTTCTGGGAGAACTCAAGTGAAGACAAACATGTTGGAATTTAGTTTTATTTTAACAAAAGAAAAAGAGTGAAACTGAAAGAATTGCTAAAATATTCTGAGTTTTCTCCTGTATCCCCAGATATAGTGATACATTTCTAGATCAATTTCCTCTGAGTTTAGGAGTACTATGGAGGAAAACAGTAAGAGGTTGTTAGTATCATCAGGTTTATTTTAAACTCAAGTTTTCAATAATAGATGTTATGAACTCTTGCTACAAAAGTGAAAAGAAGTTGGCACTCATAACTTTTCTCCACTTCCCTCTCATTTTTATTGGTTTTTAAAATTACTTTTAATTCATCAAGGTGTATAGCTTTTACATTTTTCCCATAAGCATAATCCCTGCAGTTGTTTAGTCTTAGTTCTATATTTAAGAACCTATTATCAATCCTTCTTAGTATCATTTTAAAGATCATAGCTCAAGCATAAGCAAATTTAAAAGGACCAAAATTCTACCATGCACCTTCTCGGACCACAGT